ATTATAATATAATATATATATTAATAATAATATTGTTTTTTACGTTATATTTATGATTTATCATCTCTATAATGTATCAAATAATAATTCTTTAATTATTACAATATTATAGGTATAATTACACCCTAAAAAAAGTAATTTTCAATCTAGAGGATTCCTCTAAAATAAATGCATATTTTCCTCTTAATTTTGGTATCAAAATTATTATTCTTCATTTAAGAGGATTTTCCTCTTAAATTAAATGTCGACATCCAAACCTCGTAAAATTGTTTTTAATGTCAAAGCCATCAATAAAATAATTATAATTTCAATCAAATAATAAAATCTTTGCAGAAAATACATTTTTAAATTAAAATTAAGTAAAATTATAATAGTTCATTTCAATATAATAATAAAAATTGTTTTTTAATATAACATTAACAATGTCATGTTTTTGGTTAATTATCAACATTTTATATTGATAATTAAAATACAAAAAATAAGCTTTCATTACTCATAGTTGTAATGATCAACGAGATTTTCAGCGCAAAAATAATTTTAAAACATGATGATATGTTCAAAAGTTAACATTTTTTATATGACAGAAAAAAATTTCATATATGAAATTATTTAACGTTTTAAAACTTTTTTAAAAAAGTAAATAAAAAGATTTAAAAAATTCGAAAGATTCAAAAATGGGGTTATAGTATTTCTATTTACCTGAGTAGTAAAATTTCACAAGAAATATCCAAATTTTTTAAATCTAAAAAGAGCGTTAAAAATATTCATTTAATTTGAATTTAACTATATTTTCTGTATTTTTAATAAAGCAAATCCATTTTTTTGTCCTTTTTGTTGACATTTTACCAGAAATATTAAAACTGAAAGGTTAAAAAACAACTTCACAACTATCATACCCAGGGAAAGGGATCAAACGATTACATTATTTTTTTCCGTTTCCTTTTTTTAAATCTTCTAAATTTAAAACGGAAAATCTTAATTAAAGAGGAAAATACAAAAGGAATCCTTTTGTCATTCTTCCATTAAAATGAAGAATAAAAATATTCTACATTTCAATTGAATAATCTTGTTTTAAGAGGAAATATTTAGAGGATATTAGAAGAGGAATTTTCCTCTAAGTATAAGATTACTTTTTTTTGGGTGTATAATGAATAATATTGAAATAATCCATAATAAAGATGTTTCAATAGACGTAGTCGAGTTCGTCTTATCTAGACCGTTTTTCAAGACTCAGGCCAGCGACTTTACAGCGCTACTTGACAAACGTATAGGTTATGGTCGTTTGCGGTTGTCAGTGTACTTTTATAGTTGTTGCACTTCTGTAAAATACTTTTGGGAAATACTTTTGTGAAATACTTTTGCGAATTACTTTTGTAGTTGTGTACAAATATTTTTAAATAATATATTTTTTACAATTTTTACTAATAACAATTTAATATATTTTATAATTAGTAATTAATATTATTTAAATTAATATATATTGTACAACTGGATATGTCGAATTTGGGTGTAATAAATTTTAAATATATTTTTAGTTTTGTTAAAAACGACTTTTTAGTTTGAGGTTATGTTAATGGATATATAATATAAAAATAAATAAATTCGTGACAAAGTTTTTTCTTCGATTAAAAAAAAAAATGTCAAAAATCTATAAAAAAACAAAGAATATTTTTATTGAAATTAACAGCAATATATAAATATAATTTAAATAATATTAATTACTAATTATAAAATATATTAAATTGTAATTAGTAAAAATTGTAAAAATATTTGTACACAATTACAAAAGTAATTCGCAAAAGTATTTCACAAAAGTATTTTACAAAAGTATTATACAAAAGTATTTTACAAAAGTGTTTTACAAAAGTATTTTACAAAAAAAAGAATTTCACAAAAGTGCAACAACTATAAAAGTACACTGACAACCCCAAACGACCATAACCTATACGTTTGTCAAGTAGCGCTGTAAAGTCGCTGGCCTGAGTCTTGAAAAACGGTCTAGATAAGACGAACTCGACTACGTCCATTGAAACGCTTCTTAGCGAATAGCAAGACCGACTAGTTTAGACGGGCTTGCCTATGACTGGTAAGACTATTTCTAGACGCTAGACTTCCACAAGATTTTTCCACACGGGACCTCACGTGTGAGGCTCTGTCAAGTTTCAGGGAATTTTGGGTACTGTGTGGGATATTATTATTGAAACAATTATTCATTATTTAATAATAGGTGTCCCACTGTTTAACACAAACCTTCAAAACAAGAAAAATGTATCAAGTTCCAAAAACCTGAAATTTTTCTATTTAATCACAATATAATTTAAATAGAATATATGCATTATGTAGAAAAGAGTTCAAACTTTATGGTAATACCAAAAAGTGTCCAAAAATATATAAAATTGACATATTAATATGTCTTTGAAAAAAAGTGTCCCACTGTTTGTCACTCTCCCCTATATACAGTAAGAAAAGCTCCATGGTAGTCATAGGAAAGCATGCGTTACGCATAAGTTTGTCTCACTCGCACTCATGGGCTGTGACTACCATGGAGCTTTTCTTACTGTATATATATATACTATATATATATATTGCATATTTTTTATATCGTGCGTTATATCTATAATAACTAACAATAATGTGTAATGATTGATGCAAACGTTCACTAGTGTGCGTGTGAGGGAATTCCAAGTATCGAAAATTATAAAAGCTATAAGAAAATTAACTTTCCTGATATGAAATAACTAATTAAAGAGAATGAATGACAGTCTTTTTCCTTTCAGGTGTTTATCTAATATATATATACGCATTCATATAATAATTTACATACACACACACATTAAGACTGCAACATCGAAAACTAGTTTTCATTGTAATAATTACCAGCCTAAAGCGGATGAAACTAGATTAGTTGACTCTAAAATTTCAATACAAATTTTTAAATTATATAAGTTTGAATACTAAGACTAATAAATGATAATTAAAAAGATTGTTTTCTTTCCAAAAGACAGTCATGCAAAAATAAAAAAAATTAAAAATAATTTTTTATCTAAAAGTTCAAACAATGTTATATTTCTGCTATGAATATAATTTGTTTAAAACAATACTTCAGAGGCACATTGTATTTGTGTAACAGAAAATTGTATTTAATTAAAATAAACTACCAGTCATATTTCAACCATTTAATGCCCACAGCCATAGACATGCAGATGTCTATTATTATTTATTATTATTTATTATTATTATTTAGATAATTTATTATAAACAAGTAGATAAATTGTAATTTTTTGTAGTATTATATCTGACTGACAGTTTAAGCAGCTGTCAACCCTGATTCTTTCATTCACAACAAAATAATGCAAAATGTGATTTGCGTCAGACCAATAATAACCCTTCATACACTATATAGTATATTATTCAAACTCGAAATGATTGCCATCGCATTGCAGACAATTTGAAATGATTAAAACGTATATCCCATTGAATTACACTTTTCTTTTATAAAATTTGATGAAAAATAAATAGTAAACAACTGTACACAAAGATAATTGAAACAATGAAAATAATAAATTTTCAAGTTATATTATATCACTCCTTATCATTCTATCAATCTGCGAAAACGAAGCGTGACAATAAAATTATTTCCATATTATTACAAACAATTTTTACATAATTATTGTAAACTTACATAACGAAAGATAACCTTAAAAATAAAATTTGAATTCTTTTTATAATCTACTAATTAGAACAAATGACTGTAATGTATATAATAATAATAATAATAATAATAATAATAATAATAATACATGTATATATTTTAAAACAATTTTTTATAATATAATATAAATATTTTTCAAAACTGTAAATTTTAAAATTTTTTTTGCCATAATAGAACAAATTTATATATAAGAAATCGAACATATTATATAAATTATGTTTTTCATGTTTAGATAATTATTTTGGAAATTGTTATTTATACTATACTGTATACTTTATAATGTTGCAACTTTTTATTTCTTTTGCGTGTTTGTACAATTATAAAAATAGTTAAGTTATAAAGTAATAAATCTAGAATATATTGATCAACTAATAAATGTACTATAAAAAGTAAATAATGAAATGACAAAGATAAAAATAGTTAATTTAAAGGAAATGGAAATAAATATTGTATTATAAAAAAGATAATAAAGAGTAATAAAATAACTTTAAAAGACACTATCAGAAATTGACAGAGTTTACTACTGGCGCAATACTGATACCAGTACCGCGCCAGTAGTCAATTTTTGGTAGGACAAAAATTAATAAATGTCATTTTAATATGTACCATTCTCCATTATATATATATATATATATATATATTATACTATAATAATAATTGAAATATTCCATTAATTCTTAAATCACTTATATATAAAATTATTTTGTGAATAATTTTTATTTTTAATATGTACTTAATTTTAAAAAAAGTAAAGAAAATTTCAATATCGAAATTTATGTAGCAAATGTCGCAAAATTCACTTAAAATTATTTTTCCAAATTAAAGTGTGTTTAAAATCTTTCTTTAAATATATCTTTTTTATTTAGGATTTTTTATTAAATTTGTTAAATTAGAAAAAATTATAGATTTTTTAGATAAGATGTTATGTTTTTAACTGGAAAGAATAAGACACATGTGCAGTTTATGTTAAATTTATTATTTATTTGTTTACAAAATAAAATCTTAGAATTGTATAATTTACTTATTAAATTCAAATAAATTAACTGTTCAATATACGTGCATGGATAGCATTTGAATAATGAAAAAATAAATTTTTTCAGATTTCTCCTTTTATTTTTAAAAGTAACGGCAAGAGGAATTTAAATTTTTATTTCGAACGAATACAATTTATACACGATAAATATTATTAAAAATTTACATTTTTGTAAAATATTTTTCTTTATATTATAGTTCATGTTCCAATATTTAACATCAAAATTAAAAATAATTTAATAACTCTAAAACTCACCGCAAAGATAGACTTCTTTTTATAATTATTGATTCAAATGCACTTTTTAATAAAAAAAAGTCAAAACAAATTAACCAAAACCACGCCGTGGATCAAAGTTAATAAAAACGTACGAAATTGTAATTGAATAATTTTGCTGGTTTTCCTGACGTAACGCATAAATGTAATCTGATGAAATTTTTTTGAAAAAAGTTTCTTGATTATTATTTTGAAAAATAGTTGTCACGATTTTAACAAAAAAAAAAAGTTGAAGACAATTTTTGTCTAGTATAAAATCCACGATAAAGAAGTTTTATAATCTATTGAAAATTTCAGTGTCCGATGTGATCAGAAAATATCAAAAATGAACTTAAAATTCTCGATGGATTAAGAAGAATTTTAAGACTGATCGTTTTAATTGTTCTGTACGCTTTTATACGAAGTATACCCCTTCCACTAACACTTTGGTAGACGTCCTCCTGTCAACATTAACACTCCAATATGGTTGTGAGGACGCGACCAATTATATGGGTTAAATGGAAAATAATTTTTTATTCATATATAATTTTATATTATAACTAATGTTTATTTTCTGGGATTTTTTAAAAAATTAAAAGATTCTTAACTTGATTTATTCGTTTCGTATAACATGCATAAAAGTGCATGCTTAAAAAATGTTTATAATGATTTTCATTGCAATTCTTATTAATTACAATGACATTTATACTTACGACTAAAGAAATTAATTTACTGTAATTATAATGACAAATCGTCTTACTGGAAATTAACACATCTAATTACTAATTACATTTATGATTTTCATATTTGCCGGAAAACGATAATACACGTGATCTTCAAAATTTTAATTTTTTAACCACTTTTGTCGTAGAAGACTGAATGAATGGAATTGATATTTTGTATAGAAATGTAAAATATGATAAAGAAGTTCTTGATATATTTGAATCAATTGTTTGATTAAATATTTTAAAATACTTGCCAGATAGCACCACCATTTGCGGCAAATTTACGCAGTAAGTTAAAAATGTTAAATTTCTGAAAATTTCCCAGAATCATTACATGTTCTCACCAGCATTTTAACTTCACGATGTCAATTTTCAAGAACTTCCCTTAAAACAAACGTTAAATATTTAAATTCCCTGAACTACATGTCTCACGGTTTTTACTTTTTTGGTTTAAATATAATAATTATTATTATCATTACTAGCTGAAATATAGCGCGCTAATGAGCGCGTGTAGTTTCTACGTCGTGGAGTAATAAACTAATAATATATTTCTAATTTTCACATTATCCTTTTTTTATTCACAGAGAAAAATCAGTTTGATGTTATATAAATAATGATTTTTTGCTGAGGCAGCTCATAATTAGCTAATACAGCAAAACAATTTAGTTAAGTTAATTTTTAAAAATAAACTTGTAAAACTATTTGTTCAATTGTTAACGATAACAACAATGAAAACCCCATTAAAGAATTTACACCGAAAAAGTGATGATGATAAGATAAACAAATTAAAACCAAATTCTAGTATCGCCAACATAACCGCCGCCACTTGAAATACCGAGAAAAATTGATTATGATGTGTCAATTATTATGATTACAAAATTCACTGTTTTGTCACTTATATTTTATACCGAAAAGGCAGAGATTGTTGTAATAAAAGGCATTATCGACGAATGGATTTTCTTATTTACGGAATGTATATAACGAGAGAAATCAATTTTTTAGTAAAAATTTTTAAATATAAATATTATATTTTTAGAAATAAATATTTTTGATAAAGTCAAAGTTCGATGATTTTTTATAATCTTTAAAATTACAAAAAAAATTAGTTTTTCTAAATGTTTTTTTGTAGATTTACATTTTCTATAAATATTTCATTGCAAAAGAAAATTTTATATATATATTTTTTTCAAAAAATTTAATTGATTGAAAATTAATAAACTAGGTGTTCATTTCATGACCATTTAGCTTCCTCATCATAATATACTTATACATATTCAAAATTAAAACAAGGATTACAACTAAAATAGCGATTAATTTTATAATTATTGGTAAAATGTAAACTGTATATACATCAATCGATTCGTTTTCATGCCAGGAATACAATTTTGACAAGAATTAATTGAATTAATTGAAATTTCTATATAAGAAAAAGTTATTTCAAAAAATACAAAAAAAGGGTTTTTTTCAAAACATCAAAAAAATGATTTAATCTATAGATTTCAGTCAAATATGAACTTTATATAGGTTAATCGCTTCGTTTTAATGCAAGAAATAAGTTTTTTTTACAAAACAAAATTAAATTTACAATAAAAAAAATTTTTTGAAAAAAATGTTCAAATTTTGAAAAAATTGAAAAAAAAATCTTGTGAATATATTTGGAAATCCAAGTGTCAGATTTTAGGAATTAATGACTGCAATAAGCATATATAAAATTTCAGTACACTCCGTCAAAACGTTTCTGAGATAATTTGTATACAATATTTTGTGACATACACACACATACATCTGGACATTTGCTCAGAACTTCAAATATATTAATTCTAGATGAGAATTAGTCCATATAACTTTGTTTTTAAACATTGAAAATCGTCACGAATGCAAAGCTTCCTCATGAGGAAGCAAAACGTCTAACTTCAAGTGTGGACAGACAGAATGAATGAATACGGAGGTTATTATATGTAAAAAATAAAATAATAAAATCATTATTATTTTTATTATTAAAATTAGAATAGTGACAATAATATAAAATACAATAAGCTGTTTTATTGAAAAAATTGATTTTTAAAAAGTTACCGTCAACTGAAGTAATTATACCATGGCAGATTAAAGGCATTTTCACACCTAGACTGTCTGCACAGGCAACACACTTAGAGTAAGAGAACAAAAATTTGAATTCAATTTAAATTGTCTCTTTCTCTCTCTCTCTCTCTTACTCTAATTGAAAAAATTACATCCGAGGTAAGCAAATGCCTTAAGGGATCAACGCGCAGATGTAAACAGTATTAGAATATTGAACCGGTTAAAATTCGTAAAATTAAAAATGCATGCTCTAAATTTATCGGACTATATAAATTTTAAAATAATCAATCCTAATAATGATAAAAATTGTGAGTGTGATTTATGCGTTATAGGTATAGCAATCCACGGGGATGTGAGATATTATATTACTAATAATTTTATAAAACAACCTGAAACTGAATATAAATTATTTTGAAATACAATGAACCTACTTTGACCAAAATTGACTAATTAAAATTAATTACTTTTATTTTTTATCTACCTTCACCCCCCACTGAAAATTCCCACATAGGCTCCCATATGGGAAACCACATGGGTCCCTATATAGGAAGCCATATGGTTTCCTATACAAAATCGTATACGTAATTGGAACAGGAATTTGAATAGGAAATTAAGTCGGAATTATATGAATCTACATCCACACAGGAATGTACATTCCTATGTATATTTCTATTTCAATTCCTATAATATAAATTTTTTTTTCAACTCTAAGATATATATCTTTCAATAGTAGAGGTTCATGATAGACTACAGAGATGAAAAAATTTATTGCGCAGCCGAAAAAGTTGAAGAAAACTACTGCGCATGATATTAAGATATAATGTTCATTCATATGATAATTCCTACTTAATTTCCTATTCAAATTCCTGTTCCAATTACGTATACGATTTTGTATAGGAAACCATATGGCTTCCTGTATAGGAGCCTATGTGGGGATTTTCAGTACGGCCGTGCTTTGTTCTTATTTTAGTCTTACTTTGAACCTACATTGACGTCCTTCTAACCTATGATTCTAATTTTTAAGGTATATTATATTCGTTATAGTAAGGTATAATTATATTGATCATTCCACGTCAGGCTGCCGCTGAGTTTGACGTTAAAATCAGAGCCAAAATACTAATCCTATCCTCCTATCCTATATAAGAAATCTCTAAACGATAAACTCTCGATCTATAGTAACGCCTATCCCATTGGTTGATTGTCGCCGTGGCGTCTATTCCATTGGTCGAATTCTTATTTGTCATCTTCGTCTCGCAAGAGCGTAAAACAGACACGATCTGTCCGCGTACAGATTTACCGACACACAGAAATAAAAGTGGTGTGTGCGTCAGTTATCTTTGTCAAGCAACGTTTTCAGTCAGTAAATGAATGAAAGCAATATATACGGTCGAATTTTCTTAAAACTTATTTTTCCAAAGAATCTTCAAGGATTGTTTCTCAGAATAAAAAAATGTTACTTTGTAGTATAAATAATTAATGAAAATTTTGAAGTTTGATTAATTTTTTATGTACAAAAATGAACATTATGTTTATTAAATTTTCTGTCATGAAGAACGTGTTGAATAATATTTTTTCTCTCATAATTTTTTTTATTTAGAAGGAAGGATAAATATTTTGTTTGTAATAATTATTTTAAAATTAAATGTACCGATTGTAATGATTAATTTTAATTATAGAAAATGAAGGTTAACTTTTAATATTTCAAGAGAATTCACATAAGTCAAATCTTCTGCAACCTTGCCTGATTGGTTATAGAATGTCAACTAATTAGATAATATTAACCGAATAAAAGGTTCACTATAAATAGAATGTCAGTTAAACGGTGCACATGAATAAGTTCTAAAATTAATTTTTTTGAATTTCCATTTGTTAGAATAAATTATTTAGATAGATTTTAAATAGATTAGATAGAATTTTCTTTTAACCGAATTTTTATTTGACCGAATTATTATTTCACAGAATTTATATTTATCCGATTTTCTATATTACAGAATTCTTATATAACCGAACATTCAACTGACAGAACTTATATTTGATCGAATTTTCATATGCTCGATTTTTTGTTAAATAGAATAGCCATTTAGACGAATTCTTATTAGACAGAATTTTAATATAAAGAATTTACTTTTATCCGAAGTTTAATTTTTTAGAATTATTATTTCACAGAATTTCTATTTCATCGTTTTTTCACAGTATAGAATTATTACTTAACCAAATATTCATTTAACAGAACTTACAATTCATCGAATTTTTATGTGTCAGAATTTTCATCTTTTTGAATGTTCATTAAACAGAATATTCATTTAATCGAATTTTTATTAGGTAGAATTTTAATAGGAAGAATTTACTTTTAGCGGAAGTTTCATTTCTTAGAATTATAATTTAGCAGAATTTTAATTTAATGAATTTTTAGCATTGCAGAACTTTTATTTAGTCTAAATGGCTATTCTATTTAACAAAAAATCGAGCATATGAAAATTCTGAGAAATGAAAATTCGATCAAATAGAAGTTCTGTCAATTGAATGTTCGGTTATATAAAAATTCTGTCATATTTTAGACAACTTTGAATGTTTTTACGAATTAC